ATCTTTCCGACCATTTCCGACCCTACCAAACTGTAGAATATATGCTCTTTACAGAGTCGGAAATGTCTCCTTCACTGCGTTCCAAGGTTCTGACTGAAATCATAGTACCTTCTGAAAGGGTTAATATAAAAACAAGAGAGAACGCAATAAGCGATTTTGCGGACCGTAAGACACCCGTTACACAGCCAAAACTACAAAGTATTACCCCAACAAAACAATCGAAGCTTAGGTGGCGCTAAAAACAACACTATGTGGCGGCCCAAGTCAAAATACCATCTAGCGGAAAATCTGTCAACTAAGAACTTAGCTTCGATATTTATTGTTATCGCTCTGATCGATATGTTCTAATAAACACATCTCTATCTTCTCTTCTACCGGCTCTCGGCTAAGCTGCACGCACGCTATGTAACTCCTCATTGTGAAACCCAATATACATTAATAAAATAATAGTAACACCAATCCGTGTTACCATAACTAGAAGCTAAGTGAGTGCAGCACCCCCACCCCCCGCTTACAGTTCTTTCGTTTTGTCTCTCTACTGCAGCGATTACCGGCAAACAGCGGTCGAGGCGCGGCAGAGCGGCGGCAGAGGACTTAAAAACCACATAACTTCTAAAATATTTGCTCGAATTTTAACATTTTTGTGTCTACCGATTGATATGACCGAAACAACAGTCCAACACCTACAGTCTAACATGTCTCTGGCGACGTCAAAGAAGTGTTTACTGTTTTGCGATTTGTGGGCATTAGAGTGGGCGTGGCTTGCGGTGCTTAGGAAACACTAGAATCTGCATGACAAATCCCAGTTCTTATAGTTTCCGAGATGTTGACGGCCAGACGGACATGGCTAGATCGACTGGGCAATTGATCGTGATCAATAACATATATATATTCTTTATGGGGTTGGAAACGCTTCCTTCTAGATGTTACATACTGTTCAACGAATACAATATACCCTTTTACTCCACGAGTAACGGGTATAAAATACTAAGCGTTTGCAAATAGATAAATTTCTTTGCATTCTATTAAAATTTTTCCAGGCACACTGTGCCAGAAAATTAATTAATTTTTGGCGAAAACTAGCATTTCAAACCCTGTATAGCTAGGGAGATAAAATAAATCATATTTTGTTCTTCATAAATTGCACTTTGCAACCAGCTAAATATACAATTTTTATAAAAAATAGTTAATCCAAACCAAAGTCAAAATGATTTATAGTTTTTGGCTTTTTTTTTAGAATAAACGTAGGTAACGGATTCAATACAATTTAATATCAATTAGTTAGGGGTACATATGCATTATTACATGCTTTGTGTATGTATTTGAGGAAAGTTATATTTTTTTACTTGTTAAGTTAATCATATATATATATAATCATATATCATATATATATATATATATATACGCTGTATAGCTAGGGAGATAAAATAAATCATATTTTCTTCTTCATAAATTGCACTTTGCAACCAGCTAAATATACAATTTTTATAAAAAATAGTTAATCCAAACCAAAGTCAAAATGATTTATAGTTTTTGCCTTTTTTTTTAGAATAAACGGTAACGGATTCAATACAATTTAATATCAATTAGTTAGGGTACATTTATATATATATATATATATATATATATTTTAAATATATTTAAATAAATATTCAAAAAAAAAACCATGCAACAAAATTCGTTGAAATGTGAGCAAAAATTTGTTTAATGCAGATCAAAAAGCACCGTATGGGGTATTTTATTTATTTTCTTTTTTTGAACACAATTTTTAGGAAAGTTTCATGCAGATTGTTTTAAAACTAAGAGACGGACAAACAGATATTAATAGCCAGATTCCATTGCCGCATTAATGGACTTTTTAAATGTGCCTGATTCCATTGGCGCATTAGGATTTAGCTAATGCTACTCCGACAAGTGAGTGGCACGAACAGCTGATCTGGGTTTGTTTACTTTTGAATATTGGCAAATCCAAAAGAAATTAATTAAAAACTATCTCCGTATATATGGGAGTTAATTCCGGCCAGAGATCCAGCAGTAATGCATGGTGGTACTGCGAGCAGAATTTGCAGAAAGCGCTCTTGTTTTCAGTAACTTTTATACAAAATAGATTTTATATTCAAAAGTCATCAAAAATTGCGCCAACCTTGCATATAGCTGTTGTAGTAGTGGCACGAACAAAATATCGTTAAACATCGGTATTTTCCGGCAAGAGAGAACACTTCAACACATTGGTTAAACAGCTGCAAGGCTTCAAGAAGAGGGACTCTTTAGGGTCGTCAGCGGGGTACCGCACAGTAGTAAGACTTTTTGGAGTGTCGTCTCCCATGCTTTGAGCTGTACCGGGTGTTTGCTCCAAAATACTTGCCCCGTGAGTTGCTCACACAGGATAAATTTGAAGAGTGCGTTAGGGGATTCGAAGCTCTTGGATTCCCGCAATGCATTGGAGCAATTGTTAAGTAAAGTTATGGACGCAGAGTTAATTGACATAAATCTTATAGCTATCCTCGAAGATGGTAATCATATTGACATCCGCCCAGCCGTCGCCAAGGGCATCGATTACTACAATTATCCTTTTTGCATTGGTTGACTACAGCTAATGGGGTTATAACACTCATTGTTGGCCTCATTCATTTCTCATTGCTCAACCTATGACGATTCCAATGAGCAATGAATGAACAATGTCAGCACCGATACCCGATAGTAAAAAAAATGACCGGATTTTAAAAAGGCATTGTGACCGTGAACGTATTACCAAAAAAATCTCAATCAGTATCCATATAGTTTTCTCTTTGAGCTTCAATCCGTCAAATAATGAGTCGAACAATGTAATGTCATACCCGTATAAGAAGATTTTAATCCTAATTTACAGAATTTATTTATATACTTTTTTTCCTCATAGGTACAGTTTTCGGTATGTCTACGTGGGCTGCTCGGGCCGCTGCCACGACTCCCAAGTTTATGAGTGTTCCACCTTGAAAAGTATTGTGGACAATACTGAACTATTTCGAGCAAACTCCAAACGCCTAAACAAAACGGATGTGCCTGTGGTTTTGCTTGGCGATTCGGCATTTAGGTTTTCAACAACCCTAATTCGCTTTCCAAAGCAAGGAGAGTTATAGAGAACGCCTTTGGGCAGTTGAAATCGCGCTTCCGCCGGATTGGAAAGAGCCTAGACAACCGATGCGATTAAACGTCGAACATTATTCTGTCATGTTGCGTTTTACACAACTTTTTAAACGAGAACAACAGTGCGATTTTGGAAACCTGGTCGAATATAATCGAAGAGAGATCACAGCCTGAAGAAACTAATGCTGCCAACGACTGCGACAACGAACCACAATGCATTAGAAAAGCAATTACTACATATTTAAAACTAATGTTAAATACAATTTAATTTGGAACTACTGAATGTTCGAATATTTATTTTGGTCTGCGCTCCGCTTTTCGATCCGCTCCATTACCTGGAGACGCCGATCCAAATTAAAAGTTTTATCCATGTGGCATAACTGGCAGAACGGCATCAAGAGAGCGGCAGAGCAAATGGTGCCTCATATAGTTCTTACTCTATGAAGGAAGTAAGAAATAAGAACAAAAGTAAGCTGTGTTTCAGAAAAATCCCAAGTTATGCGTTATCGATAACTTATATATAATTATAATACTTTTGTCAAAATAAAATAAACTGTTTCAACTACATTCACTGAGGCGATAATCTGATGCGATATAATTATTTTAAATTATGTAAAAATAAATATTTTAAGTCCCAAACGATGACAATAAAAAATAATAAATAAATATTCGAATCAAAACAACGACGAAACAAAAAATTATATTATTATAATAAAATTATTAGAGATTATAATTTCAGTCAGAAGCAAGAAGTTTGCCATAGCTGCAAGGGTGTATAAACTTCGGCTTGTTTTCAATTTCTTGTTTTCAATTTGGTTTTAGTTCGAGATGTAATTAATGTTAAAATATTTTAGATTTGCGGTTCAAATTTCATTAAAATCAGAGGACTATATCATATAGCTTCCGTGGGAACAATTAAAAAAAATAACAAAAAAAATTTTGTTTTAATTGTAACTCCTCTTTTTTTGAATATTTAAAAAAAAACTTTTAGAAATAGTTATTTTTCATATTTCAAATTAACGATTTTAATTAATATTTAAAAATGTTTTGCACATAATAAGGTGAGTTTTCTACTTTGTTTTAAGTTTTTTGTTTTTAAAAAATTTTAGAAGTAACGGGACTATGGGCTGTCTTCCAAGGCTTAAAAAAAACACCAAAACTGCTGACATGATTCCGGTCGAATGAGTGCCTGAAATCAAAAAATTCCAGAAGATTATGAAAGCTAAATGTATTTCCACTACAATGTCAAATGTTTACAAAATGGCGTATGTTTTTTTGGGGTTGAAATGATAGTAGTCGAGATATGCCAGCAGTATTCAAAAATGTATTTTCGAGATAAACGCGCTTAAGGTTTTAGGTGCATCGGTGTATGCCTGCGAGCGGTCACTCTTTGGAACGCTGTTTGAAAACTATTTTAGATAAGACATTTTGACATTGTAAACTATCGATAAGACACAAAAAAAATCGATTTTTAAAAGAGTTACTCTGGTAACCCCTTTAAACATATACGCATATGCAACAGCTGTAAGGGTACATAAACTTCGGCTTGAGGATGTTTGCTTCCTTTCTTGTTTTTCTTAGTTTTATAAATAATAATTTGTTAAAACTGATTATTGTGCCCTTAATTTCAGAAATTTATATAGATTGCTTCGAAAATCTTTCTTATTTTATAATTTTAGAAAGGAAACCTTAATTTAAGAAAAATTGTATTCTAAAATTTATGGTATTAAAAGACAAAAAATGGGCAAGATTCTTGTTTTTAGAGTTAATTTTATAAGTATTTGATTTTCTTTAAAAATTGCAAGGCACTACACATTTCGGTTTTTCGAAGTTTTCTTTCTTTTTTGTTTATTTATCAATTTCTCAATTTGATATACTTCACAAGTAGGAAAACATAATTATTTTAGGGCACATTAACCAGACGCCACATTTTAAATTACAATGTCGTCCGCTTTAGCACAAAAGTTTTGGGGCACACTTTGGTCGATTGGTTCGATTAGTCGCATTGGGCAGCGCGTGAACCATATGTCCCACCATGTGGACATTGTAGCTAGCGAGGAGCAGCGGATCTACGATGAACCATACGTGATCTTCCAGAACTGGCTGGTAGCTGCCCAGGAACAGGCACCTCAAGTGCGTCCGCGACTCGCCTGCATGGCCACCGTGGACAAGGCCGGCGAACCTGTGACCCGGCTGACCAGCATCGAGGAGGTCAGCGCCAACGGGATCACGTTCTTCACGACGCTGGGCAGTCGGCAGGCGGGCGAGATTAGCGCCAACCCGCACGTATCGCTGCACTTCAACTGGGCGCCACTCATGCGCAGTGTTCGTATAGCGGGATCCGCCCACCAGCTAACGGAGGAGCAGGCGCTGGACCAGTTCCGCCGATACCCACGCCACGTCCAGATGTGCATCACCCACGGACCACGATACGCGGCTGCCGAGTGGCAGTCCCGCTCTGGGTTCTTTTCGCGGGTCGTACAGCGCTTGAACGACTGGCTTGGCAAGACGCCGGAGGAGATTCCAATGCCGCCCAACTGGGGGGGCTACATCCTGACGCCCAGTCTCTTCGAGTTCGGGATGCTCAGCGGAGAGAAGGCCAACAGGACTCGGGTGAGATTCCGTCGCTGCCTTGAAATGCCCAGGGTAAGTCCTTAAGGTCACAGTATTTTTTTTATTAAAAAATCAAAATAAATATCGCACTTCTTACCGAAGTGTTTCCTTTCTTGTTAAATTAAAATAAGAAAAAAAAGTTTGCTTTCTTTCTTGTTTTTTAATTTGTATTTGTAAATGTCTTTTGAACCTTCAAGGGACATTTGATGTCTCATATAAAAAATAATGCATCATAAATCACAAATATTCCTAAACTTTTTTTTACATTGTTACAATTGGAATTTACGAGTCCTTGAATTCACATACTTTAATTTTATTTAAATGAAGCTCATAACTTTTTTTCCAGGGCACAAGAGTTGGTTCCGTTCAAGCTGAGAGGCAGGATTGGGTCTACGATTCGTGTGAAGAAAATTGAAATTAAATTTACTTCAGATCTTGTCATACTTGTCATACTAGCCCCAAAGTATGTTATTATTTTCAAAATTTTTTGTCAAATAAATTTAGTTTTTATATAAAGCTAAAACCATAAACCTAAATTACAAACAATAAATTATTAAAGAAAATTAAAAAGGAAGTATTAGTGAAACTACACTGGTAAAAAAATGGAATAGTAAAAATAAATATGCGCATATTGAATTGTAAAATGCGTATTTCATATTTAAAGTAAATATAAAAATATTAAAATTAAATACAAAACGTATTAAATTCCATAATTTAATATAAAAATATTTAAATCAATGCGGTAAATATTGAGTTTAAATTTTGGGCAATTTGTTTTAAATTTTATCATATTAAAATTGAAAATTTTCAGACTGAAAAAAAAACATAGTCAAATTAAGAATGTGTCATATTTAATTATAGTACGAAAACTGAAAATTATTTTGAGTTTTTAATAATTTTTACAATAAACAAAACATTATTACAGTTGATATTGTCAATTAAATTTCAATAGCTCAATCTTAGCGAAATATATTTAATAAATATGGTACTTAATATTTTTAAATTTAAATCTAATATTATTTGTATTAATATCTATGTTTAAAGTATTATATTGAAATTGCTCAATATTTAAATTTAATATTATTCGTTATACATAACAAATTAAATTTAAATATTGTTTTTGTTACTTTAAATATTATTCCTATTTAATTTAAAGTTGTAGTCGAGGCCCGCATTTTATATTTAAAAATAAATACAAAAATTATATTTTAATTTTTTGTTTTGTTCCATTAATTTAGACGAAACTCTTAAATTTATTACGTTCGTAACTAAATTAAAATAATGTTAAATAAATGGAACAAAAGTCATAATTATACATACATACATACATATGTGTATAACAAATTCTAAATGCGCATTTTTAGCGGTCTTTTTTCTCCGTTATTCGCTGTTTCTTTGAAACGGATTCACACACACATATGTACATATGTGTGACCAGATCACTTCTCTTCGTATTCAGCATTGCACGGCGCGTGCCATCATTTCTAAGTCGCAGTTGTTGTGTCGTGTAGTGAAAATTAAAGTTTAATTGCTGATGCCGCGATCTCATCAGAAACACAAATCAAAGATAGTGAAGTGCTAAAATAATTAATCTGGATCGCGATTCTTACACGTTATTGGGTGAATAATTCTGCAATAAATTTGTTTTAGGCTTTATACCCACGCTTGATATATATATGTATGTACATGTGTTGGTATGCATGTACATATATACATATGTATGTGCAGCGTTCGTTTACCGCTTAATTGGCGTTAGATTTAGTTTGGAAGCCACTAGAAACGGTTAACGGACTCTGCACATACATGCATATATTTGTATGTAAGTGTGTGAGAATATTTAAAAACAAATATCTTCTAGAGTTATTCACATACATATTAACTGTGTATTTTACCGCGATCTAGTTTAACATAATTAACCCTCAAGATAAAGATCACGCCAAGATTAATTTTAAGCTTCGGAAGCATAACTATTTGGTAAGTACCGATCTAACAATAAAAATATAAATGTGGTAATGTTATGTACATACATACATACGCACGCTGTGTAAACATGTTTCTACATATGCATGTATGTATGTGCAGCGTTTTAGTTACCGCCCAAAAAAATTAACAAAAAAAAAGCGAATACTTGATTTGATTTTTTAAAATATTACAAAGTAATATTAATATTTTAAAAAATAAAATCAATCAAATGGATAATAATAACAATAAATTAGCATAAAACAATCCCTGGTGATACCGTAATATATGACTTGGAAAAACCCAAGTTAAGAAAAAAAATCTAATTTCAGATACAAATCGATTTTAATTTAATGTTCCCTGGAAAGGAAAGGCGCATTAGCTTCAAAATGGGAAGCGTTTAAGAAGGAAATACAACAGTACTATGCGTATAATATCCACAACGTGAACAGAAGGAAGCTGTTTATGAATTCCAAGAATTCAGAGACTATTGGTAAATTACATTATGAAATATATTGTTTTATTTTTTAATTAAAATTCTTATTTTTGTCTTTCTTTTATTTCTTTTTCATCAGACTTTATTTTGACTAACCTGCTCCCCTCAATTTTACCGCCCAATACATGGTACTCTTCAAAAGCATCAAAAACCAGAACTCCCTGGAAAGTCTAGTCCTTCAAGTGAACTCCATTGCCGACTATCGCCAAAGGATTGCAGAATCTGTCGGTAAAAACTATTCGAATTTAAAAACAGTTCAACCGTGTATGTTTGTAAAAAGCCACAAAGCAAATACGTTCTTTGATAAACTATATAGGCCGTACTGTATATAAATTTTGCTTAAATAAAATGATTACAAAAAAAAAATGTACAATGTTTTTCTTATGTTAATAAACAGTTTTGAATAATTTAAATGAATATACCCTGCATTTGATTTAAATATAATAAATATTTATATTTAAAACGCTAAATAATACATGTTATATAATTCATATTTAAACTAAATACTTTAATATTTAAATTCAGTGAAATTGTTATTAAAATTAAATATGAATTGCACTGTATTTAAGTTTGGAATATTTAATTTATAGATGTTAACATTAAATACGATTATAAATCAAATTAAATATTTTAATATTTAAAACAAAGATGCACCGTATTTAACTTAAATTTATTTCATATTAATTTAAATACGGTTTATACTTAAATTAAATATTTTAATATTTAAAACAAACATGTTTCATTATTACTTCAAATACGATTTCTAGTTAAATTAAATGTTTTAATATTTAAAACAAATACGCATCGTGTTTAATTTAACTATGAATTATGTTTAACTTAAATATGGACCAAATTTAAATTAAATATTAAAAATATTGAAAATTACTCTGTAAGTATTTAAATTAAATTCGAAAATCAAATTAATATGGTGCATATTTAAAGTAAATATAAACGGATTTGGATGAAAATCAAAGCGAAAAATATTTAAATTGAATACAAAATATTTAAATTTACTACTTTTTTTTTACCAGTATACTGGCAAATATCATGACATAGCAAAACCGTTCTATTGATTTTAAAGTAATTATCCCAAAGGGCCGACATCTTCGCATCGGTCTTCAAATTGTTGATCCTTAAGGGGGACTCCCATTTGTATATCCTTGCAATCAACATATAGTAATGGTTAAATATTTCAGAATTACGGTTTAAATTTCATAAAAATCGGACGAGTATATCATATATCATAGCTCCCATAGAAATAATATAAATATATAAAATAATTATCTAATAATTGAGCTGCAAATCATCATAGCTTCAATGTTTTTAAACATACACGCAAGTAAATCATAATTTTAATGTTTTAAAAAATATTTAATTTTTGCAATAGCTGCAAGGGTATATGAACTTCGGCTTGCCGAAGTTTGCTTCCTTGCTTGTTTAAAAAAATGTCTGGCAAGTCAAAAATGTGAAACCAATGAAGTTATAAAATTGAATTTAACGAAAAACCTTTATTTTAAAATATTAGTTAATCTTAATATCTCTAGGTATAATCAACTACATTGAAAAAGCGAAGGACAGACTGATAGACTCTAGTGAAGTTGATAAAGAATAAATATACTTTACAAAGTTGGAAATGTCTGTTCGAATGCGTTGAAAACTTTTGACTGAAAATATTACAACCTCTGAAAGGGTATATTTACATAAAAATCGATACTGATTTAATCAAAATGGCGAAAAACGAAATAAAATTGTCATTGTATTTTAGGACAACTTAAATCATGAAACGAAAAATTTTTTAACCGATTTTATTGAGTGTATCTTTTAACGTTTCACGGGAAAATAATATATTTGCATCCGAGCATCCGAGCTTAAATAAATTCGAAAGTTCTGATTCAATCGCATTTAAAGTGCATTAAACGCAAAGCTTGCAGCTTGCTTAATTGGATGTCCTTGGGTCCTGCAAATATGCCCAATGCACGTGAGAGCGTGTGGGCACGTAAAAATGTAATAAAATAAATAGGCGAGTGCAGTCAAGCGCAAAGAGTAATGCCCGCCGGGAAATGTGGGCTGGATGGATAGATGTGATGCGAGGATGAGGAGGGCACAGGAACGGAGGCTGAGCGGTAGTGACAGCAGACAACAAATAGTGAAAGCCAAAGCGCAAGGCCGGAAAAGCACACACCCCGTTACCCACTACCTACTTTGCCCGCCTCTCTTGAAATTTGGCTTTGCACTCCTTTGTAATTTTAGCCAGCGCTCCGTCAGTCGTTCGCTTCCTTCCTCTGTTCATTTTTTGGCTTTCCTGTTTACTTTGTCCTCGTCTGCGCTTCGCCTTTTCCTTCGTCTCTCCGGCGTTTTGTTTTGCTCCGCCCGTTTCGTGCTTTGTCGGCACTCCTCTCACGGAGGGTGTGTGTTTGTTTGGCCATCTCTCTGGGCACCGCTCTTTGCCGCTCTCTCGTGAAAAATTCGGAGAGCAGGCAAACTTGTTGGCAAGGATAATGAATATTTCTTGTTTTCGTTGTGTGCCAGCTCAATTGGGTAGGGATGCCACGCCTTGGGAAATGTTGATAAATTTCGAAATACATTTAAACCATTAAATCGATTGAATATAATAGTCGCTCTTTGTGAAAGGTTATTTAAGTTTATAATAATAAATTAAGTATTTTAACTTTGTAAGATTCAAAACAAAATGTTGCGTTGTTATGATATTTATTGTTTTTGGTATCATCATAAAATTTTATTTTATTTATTATTCTATTATTATTTGCTTTATTTTTTTATGAATTATCCTATGTTACCCATTTATATTTGTTCCGTGAACCAGACGACAATTCAGTAAGGTGCTATAAACAAAATTCAACATTTTGACGGCTTTTATTAGACGTTATAATACAGTTTTGCAACTAATTTTGCTGTTCTTGTAAACTGTTATTTACTTTATAATTGTGAGGAATTTACAATTAAATTTTAAAAATATTTTATATAGATAATCTATATCAACTCGACGGCTTAATACCGATAAAGAACATTTCCTCATAGTTCCTTTATTACCATGCATTAATGTCCGACGCCTGGCAACCCTGT